TAATTTGCTTAATTATTTTAATTCACAAAATTAATCTTTTTTTCATAAAATCATAAAAATTAGAATTAGGTTTTTTTATCAAATTTAATTTAATTTAGTTTAGGAAAATTTTAACTTATTTTTTAATTAAAAATAATTAGCAAATTAGATTTAAACTCTTGATTTAATTTTTCTTTCTTTCTCAAATAAAATAAAAATATAGAAATAGGTTTTTAGAATGAATTAATTAATTTATTTTAATTAATATTAATTAGAACTTAGGATTTTCTTTTAATTTAATTATTTCATTATTTTCTCAAATAACAAAACATGACAAAAACATCTTTTTTTTAATCAATCGCAAATAGGATTAGTCAAAAGGTCAAAACCCTAATCGCCTCACATTTAATTCGCTGCGCGCTTATTATTTATTTTGCCAATATTTTGTAACTGTTCATGGTTTGTAATAGTTAATTTAGGGTTTTTATTTTACTGTTTAAATCCCCGAGTTTTTGGCTATGTAATTAATCTCCCTCCCCGAAACCTATTAGGGTTTCTACCCTTTCCAAAAATAACTTTTTATTTTCTTATTTTTTTAACACATTAAATATTATATTTTTTACACACATAAAAATAAACAAAAAAACATTTTTTGCATATTTAAATTATATTGCATATTTATTTAATTGTCCATTTAAATATTGCCAATTTATTATTTATGCACAATTAATTCAATATGGTTGTAATAATTTAGGGTTTTATATTTTTTTACAAATAATTCCCCATTCAAAATTTTATCCCCCCTCCCCATATCAATGTTGTAATAGTCGTAGTTTTATTTTTACGCATTTAAAGCTTTCAAATATACCATGATAGAGATTAGGGTTTGTATGCAAAATCCAAAATCAAAACAAATAGTTAGACCTAATACAAGACATAAAAACATGTAAGTTGACAACACAATGCACACAAGCATCTCTAGGGTTTCATCCACTTGTTGCCTTTAAAATGGCCATGGTATGCATGTTGAGTATCTTGGCAAAACAAAAATCAAAACAAAAAGATCATAGTCCCTCGATGACGCTATCTTGGTTGCCTATACAAAATGATCTAGTCCCTCAAAAATTTGCTAAAGATACTTAGCACAATTGTTATCATGGTCAATACGATGACCCGTGCCTGTCCCATTTAACATCTAAATACAAGGTTGTTTACCAGATGCAATGGTAAAACAACAATGTAAAAGGGTTAAAAATGTGTAGGAAAGATTTTTGAGTAGATAGGGTAGACAACTCTTAGTTACTTGATCAAAACTTGCAAACATCCTTGCTATTTTCAAAAACACATCACAACACAATTTCAAAACATTTCCCAAAACAAACTTTCAAACTTTCAAATATTGAAACATCTTTTCAAAAGACAAACACCTTTGTATACATTCAAACAAGAATCATTACAAAGGTTGCCTAGACAAAAGGCCTCTTTTCAAAACATTTTCAAAACCACACACACAAAGCACCATTTCAAACAATTGAAAAGTAAAAGCAAGTGATCTAAACAAGTAATTAAGAGCCCATGGATAACCATGGATGAAAAGGGTGCTTGCACCTTCCCTTTTCATAATCTACCCCCCGAACCCAAGAAAACATCTCAAAGGTCTTTCCTGTGCTTTTTGACCTTTCCTTTGGATAAAATAAAAAGTCGGTGGAGACTCTTGCTAAACCGAAACATTTGCGAACACAAACGCAAAACCTCAAGTCAGTTCTCCCACCGTATCACAGATGCATTTCTTCCAAGAAAGCTTGTCAGGGACGCAGTTGGATTGATTCTATCAGTTGGAAGGGACCAACATCCACAATTGGGAAGATTTGGCGGCCGCTTTTTACAAGCAATACCAGTATAATGTTGACTTAGCTCCAACTCAGACACAGTTGCAAGGCATGTCTATGGGTACATGTGAAGGTTTCAAAACCTATGCTCAAAAATGGCGGGATCTCGCAGGAAGGGTCCAACCCCATCTATCTGACAGAGAATTGGTGGATATGTTCTTAGGCACGCAATTTGGTCCATTCTTCAAACACCTGATCAGAAGCTCCTCGGCTGGGTTTACCTAATTAATCATGACCGGTGAATGAGTAGAAGCGGGTATAAAAAGTGGCAAAATTCAAAGAGATGCATCCTCGAGCACGATGAAGAAACCCTTTACCGGAAAGAAGGAGGTCAGTGTTGCATGTGACCATAGGAATCAGGACAGAACTGAACTCCATCCAGCGGTATGGGCTATCATGATCTCTAAGCATGCACCTACTCAACAAAGGAACAACCAGTCTAGAATGGAAAGGCAAGTAAGACAGTTTACCCGGATAAATATGACACTGTCTCAAGTCTTGCCACATTTGTTAAAATCTAATCTAGTAACCTTGCGGGAAGCTCTGAAGAATCCCAACACTGCCTTTCCCTGTTATAACCCAAATGCTCGTTGTGCTTACCATTCAAAAAGTCCAGGTCATGATACCAACGACTGTTGGGCTTTGAAAAACAAGGTGTAAGACCTTCTCGAGGCAGAGGAAATTGAATTTGACTCCCTTGAGATCCCAAATGTTATCACTGCTCCTATGCCCAAGCACGACCGTGGTGTTAACGCTGTTGAAGACGATGTGTTTGTTATTGTTATTGATGAACCAGTTACTCCTCTCTTGACCATCAAGAGGAACCTGTTGAAGGTCGGTTTATTTCCGGGATGTGGCGAAGGTTGCTACCTCTGTTTATCTCTACCGACTGGTTGTCATTTATTGAAGGCAAGTTTCCACCGCCTGATGGATGACAAAGATTTTATTTGAAAAGACTCCCATTCCAACCATTTCTTACAAGGATGTTTCAATAATAACCATTTCTACCAATCCTCCCAGGGTCTCCACCAAAAGACCCGTCAGGATTACATCTGTTCCGAAGATGACTCCACTGATAGTTACCATGCCAGGACTAATCACATACTCCTCAGACAAAATTGTTCCCTGGAACTATGGGGGTGACGTCTACTACCATGATGTCAAGCAAGATTGGCTGGCTGATGAAGACCTGGTTTTTAATAAGGTTGATCCCGACATTGGCAACATTATGGGAACCAACAAAATAATCAGAAGTGGAAGAGTGTTCTCCCCTGAGATTTCTCCTCCAAAAGCTGTTACTGGTCCTGTGATCATTCCTGCTTTTATTCCTGCTGATACTACTACTATCGTTCCTGTGATTACCCCTACTGATACCCCTATCACCGAGTCGACTGAGACTCGGGGCAAAAACATTTTGGTTGAGCCTGTCTGGACGAAGGCACAATCAATATCTATCTCAGAGGCTTCCAAGAAGGAGATGGAAGAAATTTTGAAAATTATAAAGAGAAGCGACTACAATGTAGTTGAACAGCTAGGGCAGACCCCTTCAAAGATTTATATTCTATCTTTACTGTTATTCTTCGAAGCTCATGCGAAGGCTTTGGTAAAATTTCTTAAAACTGCCCATGTGCCACAGGAAACCTCAACTGACCAATTCGAAGATTATGTGGCTAGTTTGACATCTGATAATGGTTCGGGCTTTTCTGATGCTGATCTGACACCTAGAGGGAGGAAACACAATGATGCGTTGAATGTCTCTATCGAATGTAAGGACACTACTTTGGCCCATGTCCTGGTAGATATTGGTTCATCATTGAATGTGCTGCCTAAGAAGGCTCTGGATAGACTAGACTATGTAATAGTGTAGAATTTTAATTTCCGCAATTTATTATTTTCCTTATACTGTATAATAATTAGGCGTGTATGACAAGACATAAAATTAACCGCTAGATAACCTAATCAAAGACAAATTAACTTGAATCAAACATACTTTTCACACGCGCACCTCTAGGGTAACCTCGTCTATTGCCTCAGAAAAAATAGTCATGTCCCTCGAATATGGGACGCTTTAGCAAAGACCCTTCGATAAAAAAGATCGTAGTCCCTCGATGTCCCTCAATATTGCCTTCGGTAAACGATATAGTCCCTCACGAAAATTGCAAAAGCGTCTCACAAGTTGCCTTCTATGATTGTACGATTGACCCGCGCCTGTCCCTTCACATCCAACGATGTGGCTTCTTACTAAATCAATGGTAAGATAACAACATCTAAAGGAGGAGGAAAAGAACATTAGACTTTCTGAGTAGGTAGGACGCTCCTAGTTGCTTGCTTGCTCACAACAAAAATATTTTATACACCCATAATTTCACTTTGAAACATTATTCAAAAGACAAAATACTTTATACGCGTTCTTATAGAGACGAGAACCATTACAAAGACATTCCTATTCAAAATACTTTCAAAACCCACATCACAAACACATTTTCAAACAAAAAGCAAGTGATCTAGCAAGCAACAAAGAGCCTGTAGATAACTACGAATGAAAAGAGTGATAATACCTTTCCTTTTTTCATAACCTAACCCCCGAACTCAAGAAAACATCTATAAAGGTCTTTCTTGTTCTTTTCAGTCTTTCCTTTGGGATAAAAGAAAAGTCGATGACGACTCTTACTATCCGCAATATTGCTATTAAACACAAAATAACCAAATCAATTCTCCCACCGCATTACACACTGTAAGTACTTCTATACTTTTGAAATATCATAACATAAAAATATACAATTTCGTAATTATTTATCTCCTAGTATCACTAAAAAAATTGAAGAAAGAAGACATTTTACAACGCCTTGATTTTCTAACCTTAGACCTATTCAATATTTGGGGTTTTAATTATTTTAGTTATTATTGATGTAAAATAAATCACCAAATTCAATTTTTGTCCTAGAGGGGCGCCAAATGAAATATTTCCCGGCAAACACCGCGCGCGGGAAATATTCGAAAAGAAATAATAATAAAAAACTAACATGCCAATCTCGCTTCATAATCTTCCATTATCGCCGATTTCTCTATCCTCTAAATCCATTTCTCAATTCTCCTTCCCCTATTCATTTCAGAAAAACCTAAACAAGAAAAATGGATATCTCAGAAATCGCAAAAAAACTCGGACTCTCCGATTCAAAACTCGTCATCCGAAAAGCCGCTGAACTCCGTCGCCTCTGCGATGTACACTTCGATTCCTCGATCATCGGCGTCGTAAGATCGTTTTCCTAACCGCATTTTAGTTAGTTACATTTTATGACCGTTTGATTGATATCTTATAACTGTTTTGTTGTAGGGCGAAGTTGCCAAAGCTATCATCTGTATGGAGATTGCAGCGACGAGGCTCGGTGTTCTCTTTGATCGATCTTCGGCAGTGAAACTCAGTGGAATGTCTGAGAGAGCTTATATCAGATCTTACAATTCACTTCACAATGGCATTGGTGTCAAGTCAGTTTCATTTTTATTAATTCATCTTTTCTGTTTTATATCTTTAATGTTTTTCGGTTTTAATGGGTGAATTTGGTGTTTTAGGTTGAAGCTTGATGTGAGAGAATTGGCTATTCGATTTGGTTGTGTGAGGATCATACCTTATGTTCGTGACGGTCTCAAGCTGTAAGTTATTGATTTTATGCTTATAGTTATGTCTGCTATGTGTTTGTTGAAATGCTATTGAGAAAAAGTACTATATTGATTGGTTAGAATGTGTTGCTGATATGATTTCTTAATGATTGCAGTTATAAGGATAGGTTTCTTGCTTCGTTGCCGGCTGCTCGCCGTGCTAGTGCTGATTTTACTCGTCCGGTGTTCATGGCTGTTGCTTTTTATTTATCTGCAAAGAAACAAAAGGTACATTTGTAATGACCTCTGTATTCTCAAGAATGCGCATGAGCACACCCGTGTATCATAATGTGCTTGTATATTATATTGACATAGTTTATGCTTGTTCTTTGCAGCTTAAAGTTGATAAGATTAAGCTAATTGAACTTTGTGGTACTTCTGAATCGGAATTTTCTAGTGTAAGTAATTTTTATGTTAAACGAATCTCTAATGTGATGATTTTGTCAGTTTTGTGAGCGGTGTTAGTGAATTTAAATGAATTTTGAATTGTCTCCGCAGGTTTCCACTTCTATGAAAGACTTGTGCTATGATGTTTTTGGGGTAGCTAAAGAAAAGAAAGACCCTAAAGAATTAAAGACCAATAGAGGTATATATTTCTTAACATATTATGTTCTATTCGGATTAATTGTTTCAAAGCTTAATCTTTTCTGCTTGTACACCTCTTTTTGGCAGATCTGCTTGATGTATTGCCAAGCAAAAGAAAAGCTGAGGATGGTGGCTATCCATCTGATGATGGAGTAGAGGTATAAATGGCTAACCTCACTATTTTTTAACGGAACATGATCATGTCATGTGACCATGTCTTCTGTACTTTAATGTTGGGGGTTTACAGTTAGAAACTCTCTAAAGCGCTTAGGATGATTTAATGCCTGTATTAAATCCCATATTTCCATGTTATTCCCTGGTTCTGTGTTTTTGTTTCCCTTTGTTGCTCGTTTTAAGTCCCACAATTAATAATGACTTAATTTTTGCAAGTACTAACTATCCCCTACAGTTCATGGATTTAGGAGCTAAAGTAGAGAAGGAAATGTACACATATATTTACTTGATTAAAGAAACTAAAGAAGGTTAATGCGTAGTGATTGTAGGTAATGTTGAGATGTAGAACACAAATTTGAGAAATTCAATTGGCATATGAAGAGATAACTGTTTCACCATGTGGCTTTGTTCAATTTGTGAAGGCTCTTGTGCTTTTAGAAATTCTTGTGACTAGACATCAATAACACTCGAAATGACCCAATTTGTTTTTGTTAATGGGTCATTAATGCCAAAGTTGGTGGATGCATAATTGTCCAATACAACTCTTCATTCTCAAACACTAGTTTCTTTTAGATTGATGTAATCATGGGCATTGATTTGGTACATCCTTACTAATTGATGGTAGTAGTTTAAACGGCAATTGAGATACACAATTTACAATGCCAAACTATATTAACAGTATCAAAGCAATTTTGATCACAACAACATTAAATCCATAAAAACATTCATTTAAGTTGATGCATATGTTTGATAGGAAACCAGTCGTTGATTTTTCTTGTATTTTTTATTTGAATTAGCAGAACACTAGTATAATACACTTTTTTATCGTTGGTTTATTGTTTAGTCTATACATTTTCCATTGTAGTAGCCTCTCTATTTGGTAGGGGAATCAAAAACTGATTCCACTAATTATGATGATTTCAATTCAGATCTGGAAAAAGTCTTGCATACTTTGAACTTAGATGTGTGCACCATAGTGTGCAATTGAATTCTTCCTGTATTAGCTTAAATTTAATCTCCCTGTATTATCTTAAATTGAACTTTGTTGCATTGTATTAGTTTAAATTCTCTTGAGTGAAAGCTTTTCTACCTATTGTGATCCTTGCAGCTTGAGAGATTAGTCTCTGTTGTTGTGTCCGAGGATACCTGGTTTCTACTGAAAAAAAAGATTTAATCTCTTTGTATTAGCTTAATTTTTTTTTAGTCAGTTTTCAACACTATTTTCATGCCCTCCCTTTTGATTGCATTGTTTACTTTCACCATTATATTCTGATGCTATATACTCTTAATAATCTATGTCATCATTTTCTGTATAATAGCTTTTCCAATTCATGTGAATAATGAAGTTGTCATTTTTCTGTATATATAGGTTTCATGTTATAAAAAAAAGAAACAGATGGAAACACATGACTATGAGAAGTGGAAATCTTCTGTCCTTGCATCCAATAAACAAGATAAGAAAGAAGGTATTGAGATAGTTTTTGCATTTTTCTTATTCCACATCTGAGCTTAAGATTGAAAGACAGTTAACCTTGTTTTTGCTTTATCTTTCTGTAGTGCATTGCAAGAAACCAATACAAACAAGCCTAAATTTTGTCAAGGAAGCTCCTGAGACCCAGAAGTTGGAGGTGTTGTGAGATGGTATTGTTTTTACTGTGATGGAAGATTCCAGTGGAAGTTTGTCACTGTATAAATTAAAGGATGAAAGTAACAGAGAAGTTGTCTAGTTGTGATTGTTCTTACATATAAGCTTCTCAATTTTGCTAATGTTTTCTTTTGGGGAATTTCCAAAGCATTAGATTCTCTGTACAGACTATCATTTTTTTAAAACTTTCCTGGTATTTGGCTTCGAAATGAGTCACATATAGGCTTGTTTACCTGTACAAGACAGTAAATCTGCAAACCAATGTGTCTGCAATTTTCTTTATACTATTTAAACAAAGTTTGGGAAAATACTATCTTTCAACTGCACCAAGAAACAAAAGTAGAATGTGAGTTAAAATGAATAAACTATGTTCCTCTCTTTTAATGTCAAACTCACTAACATTACTCAGTGGTAGGACAGATCAAACATAAGGCTCTGGGAAGGGTGGTTTCTCGGTGATGACAAGAAATTATCCTCCAAGAAGATAGTTTGGAGGTCAACCTCATCAAGATGTTTAATGCTCATTGACACTTCTGGTCTTTGTTCCTTAATAAGTGGTATTAGAGTCATCAAGTAGGAATGAAAGAAATGTTAGGTTTATAAGAGATGTGATCTGTACTCCCATTGCTTTAAGGCTTTGGGTGGATATGTGGTGTAAATGTCTCTTGAAACTATAAATGTTTGACCCACTAACACTTCTAGACCTCGTTTCTCGGACCTTTCCAACAAGTGATATCAGAGTCAATGATTCAATTAAGGGACCGACTCCTTGTATCAAAAGTCTTCCTGACATAGTTGTGGTCAAGAGGTGTGTCTCGTTGAAGTGTACCAACGCTAACACAAATGTATGTGGATTAAAGAACTTCTGCTTGAGGTAGAGCATAGTAGATGGACTCACGTTTGAGGGGGGAGATTGTTGTGCACAAGTGTGAGTTGTAAGTCCCATATTTCTTGAAAAAGTGGAGGTTGAGCACTTTATAAGTGAGAAGACACATACACCTATCGTCTTAAGGTTTTGGGTCGATATGTGGCGTCAAGTGTAACACTCTACTAAACCCCAATCGATATTTGCAAATAAATAATTTTCAAGCACAAATCACCAACAAGAGTGTCATATCTTCATATAAAACTTCATAATAAGACATCCTGCTCCGTAACACTGGTTTTCAAAAAATTAAAACATTTATCTCTTTTAAAATATCATCACGAAACTTCAACACATCGCAACATAATTATTGTCTCAAAACACCTTTATTAAATACTTCAAATAAAATACCATCACACTTCATAATTCATAAGTCATACATAAAACATCTTAAAACGAAATAAAAAATCTTAATACATATCAAGGAACATATAGTTCGATTCAAACGACCCCAAAGACCCCGATGTTACATATCAGAGCAAGACTCTCTTTATTTGAAATAAAGCAACTAATAAACTCCCTAAAGCTATCCTCGAGCTTCTACGTCTATTCTGATTACCTACAAGTTACTCACGTATAAAGGCAACATTTCTAAGCAGAAAGGGTGATTAACCACAAACTATTATAAAAGATATATGGAACAAATATAGTAGCACAACAATAGTTCATCATAAATTCCACGTATCATCATACTTTATAAACTATACTCACTTTCACATCATCAATTATATCATCATATCATCACATTAACATCTATAGTCAAACACCACTTAGATCATAACATCAACAACATCACTTAATCAATCAGTATGCAATATCATAAATAATGTAATGCAACATCATTGACTCATGCATGTGGTACCAAAACTTCACTGATGACCAAGTCATCTTTCTCCAAAGATCTCCACCATAAGATCGATTTTCACTTAGAACCAGAGCACACCATAATATCGCACTCAATCCACACTATGCGATTGAGGCCATCACTGAAATATCGTCCTATCAACATCACTGGACCAATTGCCCTAACAACATCACTGGACCTGAGTCCTAATATGTGCCATGAATGTATGATGCACAACAACACAATAAAACATGACCATTGCTAGTCAAAGCGTATCATCATTCATGAACTCATCACAATATCATCACATACATCGTAATACAGAAAACATCATCATAAAAACATCAATCCATCATACAAACATACATCATGGTGCATCAGTCACATAATCACATCTATTCGTCATAATATTATCATAGTTCATCATTCAAGGGTATAGTTTAATCCTAAAAGGTATTGGAAATATACATCCTTTTACTCATTTTATTCCACCTAATTATATTTCATCATGTTAGCCACCCAAAGCTTCGAATGGCGCATCAAACGGAGTCCAAAAACTCAAGTTACGACACTTTCTAGATTCTACCATCTGCCTCTCGCTTGAGGCTCGCCCAACGAAGCAGCTTGCTCGCCTGAGGCTCGCCCGGAGATGCAGGGGAAAAACTCCTACCCCATACAAAATTCAGGAGCACCTAATTTTTCTCTCTTCCTTCGCCTCCTTGCCCGCCTAGCGAGCTCACCCTCGTCTATACTTCACCAGACGAAGCTAGAGCGAGTCACCCTCCTCCATATAAAATTCCAGGGGGTTTGTTTTTCACCCATTCCCTTCGCCTCTTGCTCGCCTGGCGCTGCTTAGGCGAAGCTCCATCGCCTGGCGAAGCATAAGGCTTGTCTGGCGAGACACGTATGACATCAACTCTGCAGTTGTGTTTTCTACATAGTGCAGTCCCAATTTCTCTTACGATTTCACATCCAAACAATCCCAAAACTAATGTAAATCACATATTTCCATCATACAACAACACATCCTATAGTATACATTATATGCATCAATTCATGGCAAAACACCATGGTATTTCATCTATTATTCACAATTTCATCAAAAATTCATCATATAGTCAAATTATCACAAAATTCCAATTACCTACTGTAATACGGTGGAAGAATTGAATTTACTGGTTTTGCATTTTATCATAAATGTTGCAGTTAACAAGAGTCTCAATCGACTTTTTTTTATCCAATAAAAGAAAGGGTGAAAAGAACAGGAAATACCTTTCGAGAATATTTTATGAGTAAGAGGGGTAGGTTATGGAAAGGGAAGGTGTTAGCACCCTTTCCATCCGCAGTTATCTACGGGCTCTTAGTTGTTAGCTCACTTTGAAAATTATTTTTTGTGTAAGTGTATTTTTGAAAAGACGCCTTAGTGCGGCGAACTTTGTAATGATTCTCGTATCATTGAGAATGCATACAAAGTATTTTTGTCTTTAAAAAGATTTTGAAAAGAGAGTGTATGTGCGAGAAATTTGTTTTGTTTTGTGAGGAAGCAACTACAAACTGTCTACCTACTTAAAAGATCTTTGTTATTTTCCTCTTTTCCTTTAGACAGTGCTATCCTACCATTAGTTGGTGGGTAGCCCTATCATTGGATGTTTGAGGGACATGCGCAGGTCATTGTACAATCACGAAGGAAACTCGTAGGACACTTTAGAAATTATCCTAAGGTACTAAGATCATTTACCGAGGCAACATCGAAGAGTCGCCGATGGACTATGATCTTTTAACCAAAGAGTCTTTGCTAAATTTCTTACGTTCGAGAGACGTGACTGTTTGTTTTCTGAAGGCAACAAGTGAGAGTCACCCTAGAGGTGTGTGTGTGCGAAGTGTTTTATGTTTCAGTTATTGATATTGAAGTTAGGTTTTTAGCGTTTTGCTTTTAAGTCTTGCCATACACGCCTAGTTAGTCTAACAGTTAAATATATACATAAGGGCAGAAAATAAAAGTGCGGGAATTAAACTACGCTATTACATCGCTTCGGGGATGGGGGAATACAAACCATAAAATGAGAATAAAAATGTAAAAGAGTCCTAATTAGCTATTACAAACTTTGGACAACTACAATATTGAAAAAAAAGCGAAAAAGTAAATAAACGTGCGGAGATTGAAGAGGGAAACATATCTAAAAAAAATTCTAAGTATGAAAAATATTTTTGGTATTTTTATTTAGAAAAATAATTGAATGATAATTAAAGCCTAATTCTAACTATATTTTAATTAATAAAATAAACTTAAAGTGATTAAATTAATTAATTTTTATTATGAAAATAAAGTTAATTAATTAAAATCTATATCTATTTTATTTTTATTTTTATGATTTTATTAAAAATAGTGATTAAAAAAAAGAAAAGAAATAGATTAAAAATAATAATAATAAAAAAATGACTATGGGCCTACTTTGTGAAAAGCAGACGGGGGGTGCAAGGGGATAAGGTTGCTTGCAATGTCCGGTTCAATGATCAATGACTTCGGTGCTCTAACAATGGTAAAATACCATTTATGCGTCAAACTTTACATGTAATGTACCCATCCTATTCTAATAATGCATAGGAGGAGATCAAACATGTTAGTAATGATTAAACATGAAAGAAAACATAGTTTTGATTTTTACCAATTTTAAAAACCGCTGTGATGTACAGATCGTGTTCTGGTGCTCGAGGAGTACAACTATGGATCTAGATCAAATCCTTTGGTCTTCAGGAGGTGAATTCTAGCCTTAGTTCGGATGTGAACTTGCTGAAAATGTGAGATATAATTTTCAGAACTTCTTTGAATTTTATAGAATTTTTGGAGAGATTTTTGTGCAATGATTTCGTCATCTTTGGCATGGATTTGCTTGCCTTTATATAGAGAATGAAATAGGAGCCAATAAGCATGGAAAGGGATAAGGTATTCATGCCCATGAAATCAATATTTTAACACATTGAAAACTTGCCTTCTTTGCATGATTCTTGTCTCTTGGATTCCTTGCACGAAATCTAGACATGTTGTTGGCTTGTATTTAGACTAACAAATATGGCATGGAATCAACTCATGAAGCCATGGTTTAAACAAGAATCAATTTTTGAAAACTTGCCAATTTGAGTTATTTCTTTTCCATTTTGAGTCTTGCAAGTTTTGGAAAGGTAGTAATGAGTTGTCATGAGTTTCTTGGGCCTTTGGATGGTT